ATTTTTCCATCCATAAGAGTGTTGTGCCCACAAAATCAGGGTATTATAAAGGTTGGGTGTCCTGAGCCACTGATGCAGCACCTCCAGGTACGCAGTATCCACATATTGTCCCTGCCCACTGCTCAGCATCTGCCAGTGCCTCCAACCCAATTTCACTGGAAAGGACAAAGGCACAAGAACAGCCAATGCCACCATGCTAACCCTCGCTCCTGAAGTTTGTCAGGAGAGTTTCTTGGGGAATAAAGTGCGAACAGAGCTGGAGACAGTGATAAATTTCCCTTCTGAACAATCAATAAAAGTCTCCCAGCCCCGCTCAGGCCCCTACTGCAGATGCGAGGGCCATAATTACATTGTCAAAAAGTGGAGTTGCCCCGGCTGACTGAACCCCCCTGTAAAACTGACGTGTGATTGACAGGCAGTTTATGGGTGGCACGCTCTGACTGGCAGGGGAGTTGGCTAAAGCCAAAGGCAACAGTGAAATTTCCCAGCCTGCTACAACCACCGGAGCAAAGGACCGCTGCTCGCGAGGGAACTGTGGGAAACCCTTAGTCATATTAACATATCAAAGTGAGGAGCTGACAGCGCTTACTAAACAATCTGAAGTCAACCATAGCTGCAAAGCATCCCCCAAACCTCCTCGTCTGAAGGAGAAAAGGAATTAAAAATGCACTCACTCCTGTCTTCACCCAAGACAGCTCCGAATTTGAAAGCCTGCTTATTTAATGATTTTGATCTGCGATAACATACATATACGTGTAGATGTATATACATCACATATATTGCTGAGCATGTCAGCCTCTTTCATATATGTATTTGATATGAAAGAGGCTGACATGCTCAGCAATTTGTTCTATACCACAGGCCAGACTGGTGCTAAATTGGAGCCAGAACAACATATTTCTGTTTGATGTTAAGCAATATGAAGCTAGCAAAAGAATGCACTTCTTTTGGCCTTATTTTCTACAGCGCTGCTACTGCTTCAATGCTAAATTGCAGATTACATGGTTTGAATCAATCTTAATTGCAGCCATGCACTGGGAGTGTATGGCGTGCCAAGCTTAAAAGTGGCTTCATGGCTATGTCTTTTCTCACTTCTGGATACATCGGGGTACAAAACATGACTGGAAATGTTGCTGTGCAAAGGGACCTGGACAGGCAGGAGAGGTGGGCTGACACAGACCTGCAGCTCAACAAGGAGAAGCCCAAAGTCCTGGCCTGGGGAGGAACAGGCCCAGCATCAGGACAGGCTGGGGGCACCCAGCTGGAAAGCAGCTCTGCAGAAACGGACCTGGGGAGCCTGAAGGGCACTGAGGTGAGTGTGAGACAGTGATGGGCCCTTGGGCAAAAAAAGGGGGCTGTGTTAGGCAAAGTACTGCCTGCAGGTTGAGGGAGGGGATCCTGCCCCTCTGTTCAGTGCCGGTGAGGCTACACCTGGAGTGCTGGGACCAGTTCTGGGCTCCCCAGTACAAGGGAGACATGGACATACTGCAGAGAGTCCAGTGAAGAACTGGAGGATTTCTCCTATTAGGGATGGCTGCGAGAGCTGGGGCTGCTGGGCCTGGAGCAGACGAGGCTCCGGGGGAGCTCCCCCATGGCCGTCAGTACCCGCAGGGAGGTGCGGAGAGGCCGGAGCCGGGCTCTGCTCAGCGCTGCCCAGGGCCAGGCCCAGAGGCCCCGGGCCCAGCCTGGAGCCCCGGCGGCTCCCCCTGCCCCTCAGGCAGCACTGCTGGGCCCAGGGGTGCCGGAGCCCTGGCACAGGCTGCCCCGAGAGGGGCCGGGGGCTGCTCCTGGGAGAGCACCCCGAGCCCAGGGCCGTGGGGCTGGGCACCCTGCTGGGGCAGTGGGGACAGGGCACCCAGGGGTCCCTGCCACCTCAACCATTCTGTAATAAGGCCCAAGCCCTACTCATGCTGTTCTCACAGACTTTGCTGTCCTCTGCATGCCTCTGTACAGTGGGTACTTGTGGCAGACAAGCAGGGTTGTAACTGAGTCGGGTGGTTCTGATGAAAGGTTGAGCTTACCAGGTTCAGGCCTTGGGCTGCCAACACAGACCTCTCCCTCAGTTTCCACAGGAAAGAATTGCTGAGAATTATGGCACTGAATAAAACATATACTAGCAACAAATCCTTTTGAGAGTGGACACCTGGATGTGCTTCCCTCAATCATACCGTTAGGGTAACCCTGTGGAAAGTATTTCTGCCCTGCTTGTGTAATTTCATGGGTTGTGTGTGAAGACAGAGTCAACAAGCTAGTCATGAGGTAGGCTCAGAAGGGAAACAAGAGGCACAACCTCCAAGGAGTGTTGTTTTCTTTTCCCCACATTGCTAGAAAACAAAACAGCATGAGGAAGTCAAGGCTTTTGCAGTGCTCTGACAATGTAAGGACAAAATTCTGACTTCCCTACAGAGGTCAAACCAAGAAGGATTCTTTAAGCTACAAGGAGAAGACACAGAAAGAGATGCAGCAAAAGCGTTTATCAGGCAAATTCAAATCAGATATCTTAATATGTCCCTTAAAAACATAAAATAAAAACATGGATGATTAACCAAATTAATCCCCTGGAACAAGCTTCCACAGAAAATGCTGGCTTCTGTTTCCCTTGATGTTCTCAGACAAAGACCAAGCCTTTCTGGAAGGCATGCTTTAATCTAATGTGAGTTACTGAACTCAAAGCTGGGATAACTCTGTGAAACTCAATGGCCAGTAAAGGACAGTCAATTCAGCCTAGATGATCTAATAGCACTTCTTCACAGAGCCCCTCTAGGAAATGGGATAGAAACACTCCCTTCTGCTAAAAACAAGTTACTGAAATTATTAAAGCCATCTGCAAGCACTAAATATTTCAGCCTCGCTGTGTCTCGACAAAGTGGTCAAGAGCTCACGACGTGGCTGTCAGCACAAGTCCAGGTGTAATGAAGCCCCCCTCCTTTGCTACTGCAAGGGGCATCTTCTCCAGCTTCCACTCCTCCCTCCTGACTCAGAAAAGCATCTGCTCGCGGACTGCCCTCCAACCACCGACCTCGCCTGACCTTGCTCGGCTCCAGTGAACTGACAGGATCACGGCACAGCAGCACGGCTTGCTCCCTATGTGCTCAGATCGTCCCCCTTGGTGTCTTGCATTATTTTTGACTGAGAGCCAAACGTGTCAGTAACGCTCAGATGGCAACATTTCTGCCTGTAGGCCAGGAGAGGGTAAGTTCAAGCCCTGCTGGAGGACACGGATGCCTACCAATCTGAAAGTTGACATGCAAGAAGAGAAGTGAGGGAGATGAGGCATTCCGACATTTATTTATTTATTTATTGTCCTAAGATGCACACTGCCTTTAAAAACAGCACATTAGTTAAGAGCTTGACGTGTGTGCATTTCACCAATATTCTAACACATGCTGAGCTGGGACCCGAATTCCACGTCCAAAGTACTCTAACAAGAATTTAGCATTTAATATCAACATTTTACAGCCCTTCAAAAAATCTCTGTATCTAAATTCTTGTCCTTGTTTCAGCTGAGATAGAGTTAATTATCTTCATAGCGGCTGGTATGATGCTGTGCTTTGGATTTAGGAGGAAAATAATGCTGATAACACCCTGATGTTTAAGCAGTGTTTGTGCTAAGACAAGGCCTTTGCAGCTTCTCCTGCTGCCCTGCCAGCGAGGAGGCTGGGGGTCCAAGGAGCTTGAATGGGACACAGGCAGGACAGTTGGTACAGACTGGCCAAAAGGATGTCCCATGCCATGTTGGCTTCCTGTGGGACAATAAAACTGGAGTTGGCTGCGGGTTGGGGGCCACTGCTCAGGGACTGGCTGGGCATCAGTCGGCAGACGGTGAGCAATAGCCTTGTGTATCACTTGTTTTGGATGTTATTATTATTATTTTCCCTTCCTTTTCTGTCCCATTCAACTGTTCTTATTTCAGCTCATGTGTTCTACCTTTTCCCAATTCTCTCCCTCATCCCGCTTTGTTGTGGGGTGAGTGAAAGGCTGGGTGGTTAATGGGCTGGGTTATACCACAATAATTCTTCTACCCCATAACATGAAACCTGTATTCCTCCACAAACCCATGCCAATTTCTGTCCTTTAGATCCCCTGTCCCACTTGATAGGAATGTATAATTTGGGCTCTGTGGGGCTTCCTTTCAGAGGAAAGCCCAGTCGTTAGAGCAGAGTGGTTATGTCGAACTGAAATTCTTGGCACTGCCACACTTTTTCTGCATAGCCCTGGGCTTGTCATTTGTGACAACAACCTGTGCAGAGCCGGTGTGAGTGTGCAGACCGATAGGACATCGGAGATGCCAGCTGTGCTCCTAACACTAGAGACAGACGGCTGGAGGCTACAGAAGAAGGGGAAAACACACTGCCATGAGTGCTTTGCTGCTGCTGTGAAGACAAGTAGCATCCCCACTCCAGCTGGCACAGGCTGCAAACTGCAGCACGCTTGGCATTGGCTTCACCATGGAACTTGCCTGGCAGACCACCCACTCTTGGCTACCCCAAGATCCACACCTTCTCTGAGGAGGAAACATCGTAGTTGTAATGGAGAGGAGGAGAAAGGATGCCCCATTCCAATAGCAGAGCAGAGAATGAATGCCTGGTTCCCAAGGGATGGAGACTTTCATTTGGGGATAGAAATGCACAAATCCAGACTTCTATGCACCTAAATGAGTGCCAAGGTTTCATAACTACTTGATGCCATCTGGTTTCTTCTTAGGGTCGAGATTTTCGAAATGACTCTGCTCCCAGTATGGGTGCTCTTACAGAGGTACAGCACTGGGCTTTAGTGCCTAAGATACTGCAGGAACAGAAGTTTCAAAATGAATTAAAATCAATGAATTTCTGGCCCCAAAGACTGATTTCAACATATACTTCAGTGTAATAAGATATCCAAGTTCATAGCCAAAACTTTTTTTTTCTCCAAGCACATGCTTTATTTTTTCCTTTTTTTTTTTTTTTTTTTATTCGATTTTAATTCAATTTGCTTTTAAAGGGATGGAAAAATGTACTCACCGTGGATGGAAAGGGTCCCATTCCTCACTGCCAGGAACTTGGCCCCATATGGAAATATTGGTGGAGAATGGAGGCTTCCATAGAGATAGATGTGTGCTTTGTGATGGAAAGGGGCCTCAGAGGATCCCACCTGGAGCTCTCCTCCATCAGATATCAGAATGGAATGAGCATGCAGTTCTACAGGTCCTGGACCAGTGAATAGGAGCTTGCCACCTGAAGACAACAGAAGAGTAAAATGCAACCACTGACCTCAAAACCAGACATTATCTCATAGTCAAAGGAGCTGTAAGAGATGGGCGAAACGATGGCTTTGCAATAATGTTATGAGATTAAGGGTAAAACAATATTGCTTTCTGCAGAAATCCAACTTTGCCCTGTACTTCTCCCTGTGGACTTATCTGCTCTTTACATACTCCTTTTTGTAATAAAGATCTCATTAACTCAGTCCATTTTTCACTTCTGCCACAGGCTTTATTTCTAGACTTGAGCAAGACCATTCAGCCTGGGCAGACATCTAAGTCTCTCCAACTCCACTCCAAGGTAGCAATGTTCAGAAAGTCCCAGTCCTAACCTACTCACTGTCTAACTGTTAAAAAGAAATACTATTACTTAATTTGTATGTTCCTTTTCAGATTACAAACTGCTTGTGACAGGGACAGGGGAGTGGAAAACAGCTTTGGAACACAAGAATTGGCAAGTTGTGTAGTTCAGTGGTTGATTTAATCCTGCATATTCTTCCAGCTGCTGTTCAAAACCAGATGCTCCCAAACACAGTCTAAGAAACTTCTCCCTGTTAGCTGGCTGCAAGATCTCCCCATCCCATGAAAGCCTCATTTTAATCGCTAATTAGAGGTTAGCTTCGCCCCAAAGCATAAGGTTTCATCTCCTTGCCAACATTTTCCTTCTACCATCTATTAGTATAACTGGATAGGTTTTGTCAGTAATATAGATCTGATCCTTCAAATCTTTTTAATACTCAGTCTCAATAACTTCTTGAGTCAATGAATTCTGTGGTCTAAGTTAAATAGTTCATGAAAAGGCATTTCCATCCCTTGGTTTCAACTCAAGTCTCTTTCCAGTTCTGTCAAATGCCTCTTTTGTTCTTGCCTTGTGTGAGCTGACAACCCCACTCTATCTCAGGGTGGCTTAATCTTTGGCATCCTTTCATATTTTCTCTCGAAGAAGGACACTGTCACTACTTTTACAGTGTGCTTGCACAGAGCGGACTCCCAGACATCTAATCATTCTGCTTCTGGGATATGTCTTCCTAGGTCAAGCCATGCTTTCCAGGAGCTCACCTGGCAGCCTCAGAGCTCCTTAGAAAGGGTCTCCAAGCCTCCCACCATTAGCAGGTTTTAATGGTGACCTTTATAACTACCAAACTGTTGGCTTTCCTCCTCCACAAGACACTATCAATCCTTGAAGGATTAGGGACATCAGACCTCTGCTTTAATTTCAGTATTGAGAGGGTGCAGGAGGGTACAAGTTGTAATACAGAAATCAGATTTTAAAATCCTTTGATCATTACCTCCACTTTGATGGGGTCCTCTTGCTTGCAATGATACAAGAGCTGCAGAGCACTTGTCTGCCTTTCCCACCCCATTGCGTACACTCCTGATGAGCATATGCTGCTTATCCTGACCTCCTTATTTATTCTTGCACTGATGAGCTTTAATTGTTGAACCTAATTTCTTAGTCTCGTGACAAAGCTCGTATTTGAATAAGAACTACCCCATTAAATATTTTCTTTGCAGATTTCAGTAGGTTCCAGATAAGTTAATATAGAATATGCTTAGTAGACAGAAGAGATAAACCTCACATTTTTTTGCTTATAAGCACTGGGAACCATGGGATTGCTCCCACAAATACCAGCTCCCCTATGTATAAGCTGCCTCTTTCCCTAGACATACTTTCTATATACAAATGTATTTCTGTTAAGCTTGCTTTGCTAGAACCAGTTATGTTGTGTTTTTACAAATTATACAGAATACACACTGATAAACCAGCATGAATTTCAGCTCGTTTCACTCAAAATGACAGAAGATTTCTGACTTATTCTGAGATACGTCTGAGACTTCTAGAAAAGTGAAATGTTGCTAATACAGAAATGTGCTATGCTGAAATAGGGATAATATTTGAAATGGTATTCATTTGCAGACTGAAGGGACCATTAGATCCTATCGCCTGATGGTTTGTGCACATCTTGCTATTGAAAAACTGGAGGAAGTCGAGTCGTCTGTGTTTGACTGCTGTATACCCTCCAGAAAGGCAGATAATCAATTAAGTGACTTGGGGACATCATTCTACCATTTTCTATGATCATTTTTTCCAACAGCTAATCTCCGTTACTGTTCACAATTTCTGCTTTATTTCCAATCACAACTTGTCAAGGATGAGCTTTCAGACAGTGGTTGTCTTTGTGCCCTCCTGCGTTGCACGGCAGAGAGGTTTGCAAAACAGCATTTTCTGCAAAATTTTTTGAAGGTAAATGGCAATTAAACCAAATCGCGGCACTCATTCAGCCTTGTTTGTAATATGTTTTTTACGACTCTTCCTGCAAGGAGTCATCAACATCCTCTACCACAACCTGATGTTCATTCTGAAATGAGGAACCCAGACCTCCTGATCCTTCTGCTTCTTTACTATTCTTGTTGGAGCTGCCTATATAGAGGCAAATCTGCCTTATTCCCATACTCTACATCTTGCTTCTCACATAAAAACTAAACTACCTCTTTTTGCTTCTTCATTACACTGAGAGGTTATTTGGGCTTCCTTGGCCACATGGACTCCTGAAGCTTTCCATGACTGCAGCTTTCTCTGACAAAGTCCCTTACTTTGTAACTACAGCTTTTGTTCCTCCTGCCTGGCTGTCTATTCAACAATGTAAATCTGCATTTGGTTTGAATGGCATTCACAAATGTGATCAGTGATAGATCTCTTTACTTCCCGACCACGACTGATGTGCAGTGGTATCCAAGTAGACATGAAAATGATTTCAAACCAACGCTTTACTTTTTGCTAGTGTATTTCATGTCTGGCATGTGATTTTGCCAGATAATCCTCAGTTAGTCATCACACTACCACATTTTACAGAATTAACTTAATCAAACAGTTTTCTTAGAAAATGAACTAAAATTTGTTGTCTTTTTTCTTTATGACCTATTTTTCATAAAATTTCTATCCTTTCATTTACTGTTTTTTGTAGTTAGTAATTTACGGATTCAATCAGCCATAACATATAGCTTCATCTAGTTTTATGCTTTGACCTATACTTGATATCAGACTAAGCAGCCAATAACTTTTCCTTTACCTATATGCGTCCTGACACAAGATCAGAACTTCTACAGCCTTCTGGAATTTCCCACGCACTCTGAAATTAATATTTGTGGACCATGGAATGCTTATACTAGCAGTTTTAAAGCTCTCGAATGAAACTGGACCTGTTGATTTAAGAATGCGTATTCCTGAAAGACACTATTTAACATTTTCTTCGGTAATAAATGGACTGATGGTCCATCTTCCTCTTGTAATATAATTCACCATCCTGTTCCTTCCCACACTGAGAACAGAAATATTTATTAAATACATTTGCCTTATAGCTGCAGTGTTAATAATTTTATCACTGCAATCTAGAAATGGAGCTATAAATCACTGCGATTTATTTTATTCCTAACATAAAAAAGACATCTTCCCCAAGGTCTTTATTGACTTCCTATGCTCTATTCCCACTGAAATATAGTCATTTCTGTTTCCACTTCTCTTCATACGATTTTTAATGAGTATTCTAATTGCTGCTGTGCTGCACTACTAAACCAGGAAGGCTGGTAGCCAGAGCTGTCCCATCTTCTCATTGCAAAATCATACTTCTGCTGCAAACAACCTTCCCAAATCTTTTCCTAAGCTTCAGCCACATATTGCCCATCCAAAATTTTCAAGCTTTCTATAAAATAGCTTAGAAATACTAAAATCCTCCCACAAACGTTTCTACCCCTCCTCTGTGGGATGGCAGGGATGGGAGTACATCTTTGCCTGTAAAACCCCCAAGTCCTTTTCTGATTTTATCCATTTCAGTGCATCTCAAGGCAGCTGTGGGAAGATGCTCATTTCCCATAAGGGCCTGGGATTTACCTGCTTCTTCCCTGCCTCCACAAGGTCTGCTGAGCACCTTTGTGTACAAGGTGGCTTTGGCATATCAAGAATTGTCCATCCTCATATAGAGCCTAAAAATCACAGTCTGCCTCCTCATGTCCTCTATCTCCTTTTTGTTTCCCTTCCTCTTTTTACAGTCCCCTGTTCCTTACTATTAGTCTAACTACATGTCAGTTGTTCTGAACAATTTTTCCCTTTCTGGGTGAAGATTCAGTTCTGCTGGGTCAGTAAGAATTGGACCTCAAGGTGAAGGCTGTTGCCTGGCTCTTGGGTTTCTCTGTCTCTAGGTGCAGTGACAACCCTAAGCATACCTGGCAATAGTGCAGTGGTTTGTGAGATCATGACCACCAAAAGACATTTGCTGCATGAGATGCTTTGTCTTTCCCTTAGTAGCAGCAGTCAGACCCCAGTATAATGATAGGAACCAAGTATCAGCTTGATTGATCAGCTACAACTAATGGTCACAACTTAATGCAGTTGTAACCAAGCTATTTGCAAAGCTTCTGAATTCTGTCCAGAATAAAGCCAAAAGACTCTTGTTCTTTGGGGAAAAATATATATATATATTATATAATATATATATATTATAATTATATATATATATTCAGCTGCTGAAGATTAAATAAGCAACAGGGGGAAGGGAAAGAAAAAAAGGAAGAGGAAAGGAAGAGGAAAGGAAGAGGAAAGGAAAGGAAAGGAAAGGAAAGGAAAGGAAAGGAAAGGAAAGGAAAGGAAAGGAAAGGAAAGGAAAGGAAAGGAAAGGAAAGGAAAGGAAAGGAAAGGAAAGGAAAGGAAAGGAAAGGAAAGGAAAGGAAAGGAAAGGAAAGGAAAGGAAAGGAAACCATTAACAGGGATTCGTTTTGTCATTAAACAAGTCTAAGTGTAAAATAAACTGTAGACAAACTTATAAATACTTGTGTCAAAAAATTATATATGGTCCCTCTAACCCTCAGCTCTCTGTATTTCTATGCTTTTCATTGGGTCAGAATAAATATACAGCTGCTGCTTTACAAGATTGTCATCCCCTTTTTTAAAAAGAAAATAAAAGTTATGCTTCCTTCTTT